ACAGATCGGGGTGACAGTTTAATATGTTATTAACAGCTTTTAATCTAATATCTTCTGCATAGCAGAAATTAGATTAATGTTAAATTATATAAACTAGTATATTTAAGCTGTTAAACCTTAGTGAGTTGTTGCCAGAGTCACATGTATTCAAAGATTAAGGTCTAAGGAAATAATCTCATCACAAATACCACTTGTTACTGGTTTTGAAGCTTTTGACTCTGTAACATGAGCTTTATCAGATGATGAAATTTGCTTAATGTCACAAATGTTTTTCTGACCTGACCCATTTCCATAACATACTTCCTGTTTCGATAAGTTTAACCATTTCACACACACTTTAAAATACAACAAAACCTTCAGCCAGTTGGTCAAGAATTACACCCCTATGCATACATATATGCAAATATAATTTATACACACTTATATATACTATATTTTGTATGTTTGGATGAATGTTTCTTACCACTGCAAAACCTGTTTATTACCCCCATAAGTGGTGCCACATTTGTAAGGATAATGCATTTATGGGTTGAGCAGTAGAGCTGAGTGTGTCGCTGCGCCCATGAAAAACTTATTCTGTCATTGAGTCGTGTTTATTGGATTGGATTGTTGAAGTCTAATGAAATACAACATATTGGAAATGTAACAGCTTATTCATTTAAGAAACAGCAGCCTTAGTAGCATGTGGAAGAACCATACACAGCCAAAACAAGTCAAGTTGTTTTAAAATTGCCTTGTAACCATTTCACAGACTAATCGGCAGCAACAATAACTTCTCTGAGATCACTGCTGTGTATGTCCTCCTAAGCTCTGTGTAAACAAACACCTGAATGTCCCACAACAGACAACTGCCAAATCCTTTGCTGTTATAGATATGATCACACTTCCTGTCGCCCAGTCTAGTGCACTTACAACACTCCCCCTGCTTCTTAGCCTCTTAATTTCTATGGAAGCAGTAAGACTAACACTCAGTCTCTGACTCACTGCTTCTGCATCTTGGTTTTTGTTAGATAAATAATGATGTCATTTTTTTTGTTCATTTGAGCTGTGCACCTATTTGAAGACCAACTGGTTATTTCTATTGTAACTTGATATATAAAGCAACATAATTTTAAAAAAGAGTACATTCTTTACAATGGCTGTCAAAGTAATATACATCTCATTGTGAGCAGCGTGACAAAGACCTAAATAGATGAAAAGAGAGCAGCAAATGTGAATCAAAGCAAATGCCTTAGCTGGACAAAGAAAAATCCTCTAGGGAGTCAGTGAGTATGATAATATTCAGCAGCGTGTGAGGTAATCTTATGACTTCCTATTCACTGTCTGGAAGATCAGGAGTTACATGATGAGTAATATTTTGTTCTTTTTCTGTTCTCTCTTTTACAGCCACACAATGTTTTCCAATGTCTCTCTGCTCAAGTTTTCAAAGGAGAACCAGACAACTATGATGGGCATCAATGCCACAGCGGACTATGTCACCATCATCTTATATACACTGACCGTTGTGCTCGGCATCACAGGGAACTCTATAGTGATCTGGGTGGCTGGATTCAAACTTAAGGTAGATATAAAGTGAAACATGTATTTCAAATACCTTCTGAGGTTTTAAGTATCTCTGTGAAATTCTCATATTTAGTTTGTACAATATTTTATAGGCAAGAGCTTTCGAGACAGCTTCAGTAAATATGTTTTTTGGGGTTTTTTTTAATGTTACATATCAGTGCATGAATGCAACCAGTATACTGTTAAAAAAAATACTCAATGGCAGATTTATCATTCACCTCTTAGTGAAATATTTCCTTTTGCGTGCCAAAATGCAGAGGTGGCAAAAGAACATACATTCATCACTTAAGTAGAAGAACAAATATTTGAGTTTGTCTGAAAGTCTTAATACTTTATTAAAGATAAGAAGCAAAAATATAACATGTGCATAGATATTTACAGCCTTTGAGGTCAGGTGCATCCTGTTTCCACTGATCAGCTGTCAGATTTAAGTCCCAGACTGACAGTACATATCAGAGCACAAACCAAGACAGGAAGTCCAGGGAATTATACCCGACCTGAAGTTTCCCAAAAGTATCTGAAGGAGTCTCAGACCATGAAACACAAAATGATCAGGTTCTCTGAAAAGAAAGATTGAATGCCAAGCCTCATGTCTGTAGTTAACCGGGCACTGCTCATCATGATGTACAGAGACATCCTTGGTAATAACCTGCTCAACAGCGACTGGACCTCAGACACGAGTGAAAGGTCATCTTCCAAGAGAACAAGACCCTAAGCATACAGCCAAGATAACTAAGTGGCTTCGGTACCACTCTGTAAATGTCCTTGAGTGATTTCTTGATAAATGAACCCACTAACCCTTGGCTTAAATAACTCCAAATAACCCTCTTTTTTCTTCTCTTTTGTTAATGAAACCCTTCTGACATAGTTTCTAGTCATATCAGCATATAAGGAAATCCAGCTGTTAATAAACTTCTTATATCCATTGATTTGGTGTGATTAAACTTATTTTTGACCAATTAAGACTTAATAAGTTAAAGCACTGATTATGACTGTACAAGTTGAAGCACAGTGTGTTGGGTCTCAATGTGCACAGTGTGGCTAAATTTAATAAGTACATCCTCACCTGTCAGCCTTTGGCCTTATCAGCCCAATGAGTGATCATTATCAGTCGATATCTGTCTCACCTCTTTCTCCTACTGAGAGCTGGTCACCCTTTCAGAGGTAGTAATGGATGGTGTGTTTGCAAGTTAAAATAGGAACACAAATCCCCACTTGAATTGCCTTGTGATACAATTTGCCAACAGAGTCTTCTCATGTATTTTTTCACATAAACACTAGATGTTTGATACAAGATTAAGATGAAGGCCAAATAGTGATATTTTAAAATTGCTAATATCGCTGATAATATCACAATCTGGTGACTTGTTTCATATAAATAAATTTTTTTCTTCCATTCTTCTCTTTTCCATCTTGTTTTATTTTCTCCTCCTTAAAGCTGAGTGTCACCAACGTGTGGCTGGTGAACCTGGCGATAGCAGACCTGATCTTCTGCTTCACACGAGTCTCCTCCCTCACTCAGATGCTCTTCTTCGACCACTGGCAGTTTGGCCTCTTTCTCTGCAAGTTCAACGGCTTCTTCAAATACACCAACATGTTCTGCTCTGTCTTCCTGCTGGCTGTGATCAGTCTGGATCGAGTGCTCTGCATCTGGCAGCCCATCCTCACAAAGCGGCAACGCACCCTGTGGGCAGCGAGGGTGGTGGCAATCTGCGTCTGGATCGCAGCGATCCTCTTCAGCATTCCCTACTTCATTCATCGCCGAATGTACATGGACAACAACAACCTGACTAAATGTTCTGTAGACCCGAAAGAGAAGGCAGAGGGGTACAACAGCACCAAAGCTGCTCTCTACTCCATCCGCTTCCTGTGTGGCTTCATGTTTCCCTTCACAATCATTCTGATCTGCTACACCTTGGCTGGGGTCGGAATCCGACGCACCCGCCTGTCAGGAAAGTCCCGCCCTCTGCGTATACTAGCCTGTTTGGTGATTGCCTTTTTCCTGTGCTGGGCACCTTACCACTGCCTCTTACTGGTGAAGATGGTGGACAATGAAAATGCAGTAGTGAAAATCTGGTACCCTGTAGCAAAGGGTGTTGCCTACTTTAACAGCTGTGTGAACCCGCTATTGTACTTCTGCATGGGTCTAAAAGCGAGAAAGGGTTTCAGGCAGAGTGTAATGAAAGTTTATAAAAGAGCTCTGACAGATGAAATGGATGGTCAGATGACTCAGTCCACTGATCGCTCTTTGGATTAAAGCTCTGGTTTGAAACACAACACTGTTTTAGTGGCAGGAATAAGTGGGTGTAGCTAAAGTTTAAGTTCCCCCCCAATGATCCTAAAGCTAAAAAAATGCATATCTTTATATAAACCATTAGTATAGCAGTGAAATGGCAATAGCATTTTAAAGTAGTTAAAGTCGTTATTATAATGTAACTTGTAATATGTAGCTTTTCATTGCAGTTTATGTGCAGCAAGAATTAGCAGGTATGACTGTGAAAAGATGTTTTCTTTCATTCTGTGCTCAGTGAAGAAAATATATATTTGGCACACTGGAGTGAAACACTGTTTTGTGTCCACAAGTGACCCTTCTTCTAGAGGTGACTGCAGCTCCAGGGGGATTGCTCCGGGTTTCTCTTGTTTTAAAAGCTAGAGGCTTTTAATTGTCATTTTATTTTGTTTCTGTGACTCTTTAAAAGCCATTTAGCATCAGAGCACTTTCACTGAACAGTGCAAAGCTATCTATCTATCTATCTATCTATCTATCTATCTATCTATCCATCTATGTAGATATATATATTTAGTAACATTTTAAAATTCAAAGTGTTTTTAAAGGCAAATATTTTTAATTCAAATGTAATACAGTAGCACTGCATTAAAGGAGTGATATTGTTTTTAAAGTAATGTTAATGGGTTAGTAAATAACAACATTTAACACTTATACCTATTAAATAAAATTATTTTATGTGAAGTAGATTAAATCACCAGTTTGTACTTGATGGGATTTGTTATATATACACTATAATGTACTGTAACTGAAAAAATTTCATTTCTCAATAATTTAAAAAAAAAAAAAGAGAGAAAAGCTAAATCTAGTTATTTTATATGTGGAAATATCATTTTAATGGTGAATGTCTCTTAAATATACAAGTTTTTTGTTTTTTTTGCAAAGATACACATCACATTAGAATTGAATGATGGAATGTGTAAACTCATTAACTACTTACAAATGTTGGACTTTTAATGGGTGATATTTCATTTGGGTAAATTAAATAGAGATTATATCAGCGGTCCCCAACCCTTTTTTGCACCACAGACATGTCTGTCATTGTGTCCAACAATATTTTCACGGACCGGCATTTAAGGTGTCACAGATACATACAACAAAATAAAACCAGTACCAGTACCAAAAAAATTAGATTTATTTATAACACATGGGATAAAACCCAGGGACACAGAGTTAACGCTAAAACTGTTTAAAAGAAAAAATAATGTCAAAAACCAATAAAAACTCTGAAAACCATAAATCCCACAGCCGAGCCTCAACTCTCACGGCCTGGTACCAAACAACTCATGGACCGATACCGGTATAAGCTGGATACCATGAAATGCAGCTTATAGCAGTGCAATCAATGCAATTTAAACTAGATTATTTGTATTACAACTATAATACAAATGTATTTTTAAATTAATTTCCATTACTTTTGTTTTTCTGGTGCTCCATCTATTTGAATATTATTATTTTTTAAACCTTCACAGTCTTTCAAAGAAGACAGAACACACAGTCTGAGGCCAGGCCGAGCAGTGACACACATCATTGTAAGCAGATAACTTCCATTGAGATCTGTTTCGGCAATTATCCTCCCGGACACTCTGTAAGGCTGGACCCACCCAACATCAGAAAGACAGCTTTGTCTTCAGGCCACAGCACATAGCAGACTCTGGTTAATACCACCACACCATGATTATCTCTTCATCATGGCACCCGTGTATAACAAGGGCCAAAATGTGATGGACAGACATG